GCACCTCGCCCGCCGGGCTCCTCTCCTCGGGGTCCAGCGCCAGCAGCCCGCGGAACATGGCCAGCGCCGGGGGGCTGAACCTCTGCCACTGCGACGGGACGTCCTCCGGTGCCCCCTCCCCCTCGCCCGCCTGGCGCCACTCGGCAAACTCCTGGTAGAAGTCGTCGGTGGGGGTGCAGCGCTCCCAGGGGAAGTAGCCCGTCAGGATGCAGAAGAGGACCACGCCGAAGGCCCAGGTGTCCAGGGTGGGCTCCACGAGGAGCGGGGGGGCGCCCTCGGCCTGCACCGCGCACAGCTCGGGCGCCATGTAGGGCAGCGTGCCGGAGATGAGCCGGATCATGGCCCCCCGCCGCTGGGCCAGCCCGAAGTCGGCCAGCTTGACGCGGCGGCAGTGCCGGTCCAGCAGCAGGATGTTCTCGGGCTTGACGTCGCGGTGCACCAGGCCGCGGCCGTGGATGAACTCCAGGGCGCTGGCGATCTGCTGGGCGCAGCGCTTGGCCGCCGGCTCGGGGATGCCCACCTGTCCGGGCGACATCGAGCGGAGGGGGAAAACTCACGCGAGAGGCCTTTACAGGTTTGGTTTGAATGGAGTTTATAACGAAAGCTCCGGAGGGATGACAACGACCAAGTTAATTCAGCCACAGCAATCGCTCCTGACAATCCATTCCTCTCCCAAACGCTATAGATACAGCACCTACGAGAGCCCCATCTCTCTCTCTCTCGCATCCCACCTCCACCCCCTCTCCCCCTCTGCAGCTGCCCCTCGGTCACCCTGCAGGGGGGTCCTGGTCTCCTTGTACTCTGGCCCTTGTACTCTGGCAGGTTAAGCCACAGTTTCGCTCCATAATCCCTTCGCTTTAATCCCGTTTGTCATTCCTCGTGAAAGTTTTTCTCACCACTTTGCCATGATCTGAATAATTCTGACAGAGGGATGAGATACGTGGCAGATCTCCTGTACTTTGGAAGACCTGAGAAAATAGTCCCCCACACCATCTCAGTACAGTTAAGTACAGTACATCCTTCAAATTCCATTTTAAGATTTCCTGAATGATTTTGGTCAGTGCCTGAATTAAAATGAGCTCATGGTTCTTACCGTAATAAGATCTAACAGTTAAGGTTTGGTGTCCGTGTTGAGTGATAAGTAAAAAGTTGCCAAGCAAGCATACGGATTTAAAGGCTCTCAAATTATAACTGTCTTAATTGTGAATTGAAAAAAGGACTGAGCTTAATTTCCTTAATATTCTAAAAGACTAAGAATTTATGGGTGTGACACCTATAGTATATGCATAGCAGAGCGAGCTTGATCAGGCTCTAACCTTCCTCCCAAACTTCTCTAACAAACTCCACTGGGTACAAACTGCCTTTAAATTATTATCACGCTTCATAAAACCCACCTTCTGACCTATAGATGTACTGTGTATCTTATATAAGATATAAGATAGATATATATATAAGATCTTAAAGATACAGTATGTATGTGTATTTTGTATTTTGTGTGTATAGGAACTCCGGCAGTCTCCAGCTGCAGTTCTCTTGTCCAGGACAGCGTTGGTGATACTAGCTGTCCTCCACCCCCTTCGTTAACAGATGGAAACAGGGGAGCTGCTCAGGCTGTAAGCTTGTGAGTGTCGGGGTGTCGGGGGGAGGGGGACTCAGTCTCTCATACTGGCAACGCCGCTAGGAGACAGACAAGACCGGTCCAGCCTGGCTCTGAGATCTCGCTCCACAGCACAGAGGAGTTTATTCAGTTGTAAACTCCTTTCCTGAGGCGTGTTAGGGAAGCAGCCGCGGACGTGCCGGCGGTCTCTCACCCGAGGCCGGATGACGGCGAAGAGGTCCTGCCCGATGACGAGCTCCTGGGCGAAGCCGTAGTGCTCCTGGGACTGGAAGGCGATGCCGAAGAGCCCCACGATGCAGGGGTGGTGCGCCAGGTGCAGGGAGATGCAGTACTCCCGCAGGAAGCCCTGCAGCTTAGTGGAGGCCTTGGGCATCACCTTGAGGGCCATGGGGGTGCCTGCGGGGCGGGGGGGAGGGGAGAACGGTGAGTCACACGTGAGCCCGGGCGACACCGGGCCACCCTGACCGCTGCTGCTGCTGGGCACTGCACCAGCAAGACCACACCCGGGCTTGTGTGCAGATGCAAGAAAAGATATAGCTGCTCCGGAATCAGCCCAGAGGAGAGCCGCCTACTACTGTCCTACGGGATGAGAGACCTGAATGTCTTTAGTCTTGAGCCGCGGAGACTAAGAGGGGACCCGGTCCAGCGTGCTCAAGATCCTTGAAGACTCTGACGAGGCGGACTTCTTCAGAGCTGACCTGACAGCGAAGCACGAACCAGAGGACCCCAGGGGAAACTACAGGTCAGTGCGCTAAAAATTGAGAACAGGAGGTGGTTTTTTACCCAAAGAGTGGTGGGAGTGTGAAACAGGCTGCCCAGTCACGTGGTTGAAGCCGTTACCCTGGTTTCTTGCAAGTAACGGGCAGATGGGCTCTTTGGAGCAGTAAGCGTCTAACTACTGAACTAGTTAGCTGAGCCGAATGGCCTCCTCTCATTTCCAAGACCTCAGTGTTACTGTAGATTTGAGCACCAGCTCCAGGTCTTCTGGATGGACTCCTGAAGCAGTGAGAACTGTCCTGCTGTTGGGCTTTTTCATATTTATCTTTCCTTTCAATGTCTCAGTGTCCCTGAACACCTTCAACTAAGGAACCAGTAAAAATAGCGACGAGTGAACGGTACTTTCAGAACTCTTTCTGGGTACAGTGTCATCGAGCAGATTTAAAAGCACAGCTTAACAGCCAGTGAGACCGCACTTCAGCTCGAAGCAGATCTCCTTACTCTCTTCCCGCCCTCCACGCCTGTTAATAAGAACACCGCCACCCCGGGCCGCTCGGCAGTCTGTCCGGACACTAACGACTCTCTGTGTCAAAAAGAGACTCTTGCTTCCTCTTGTAGGGCGACCTGCTCTGAACCCCACTCGCACCCTCCGCTCCTGCCGCAGTTCTGAGCGGTTCTCCCGGGGCCGCCACCGGCAGAGACGTACCCGGAGCTTCGGCCTCAGACACCCGGACAGTTTAAACGCCGCAATCGTTACGTGAGCAGGTGACCTCCTTGCAGGAGGTTGGTGTTCGCGGTCCAGTTTAATTAACAACAGCGCCTCTTGAATGCCAACTCGGGAGTCCCGGCTGAAAGCTGTTTCTCTGTTTTTCCTGCGTGCGCTACGGGTGAAGAAGCGTGTGTAAGGTGCAGGACTTACCGTGCATCACTCGTGTGGACAATGAAAGTCCGCTTTCTCGACGGAGAAAGGTTTTCTGTCATTGCAGTGTTTTGTTAATCTCCGTGTTTTTATCTAACCTGCGTCAGTCAGGAAGCGTTCGCGCCAGCTTTGGTGCCGATCTGGGAGTGACTCCAGATTCCGCTACGCACCTACCTCGGCAGCGGTGGGTCACCAGCAGCACCCGGCCGTACTTGCCCCGGCCGATCTCTTTGATGATGTTGAAGTGCTCGGCGATCTCCAGGGTGCTCAGGCTCTGCGCCGTCAGCTCCATCAGCTCCTCGATGAGGTCGCCGTTCGCCGTCTCCGGCTCGCCCATCGCCCGCCCCCGCCGAGCCGCCCAAGAGCAGCGAAGCAGCCTGCTGTTGTCTCAGGGGCCGCTGGACGGGCAGCGCTGCTCCGTCGTGAGGGGACCCGACACCGGGCAACTTTCACAGCACCTCCGGGCGAATCAAATCAAGCCGATATAAGCACAAACCCGGGGAAATTGTCAAGTCCGATTCCCGACAAGAATTTATCAAAGGACGAACCGAATGCATCTAGCAAGAAAAGTAACTTTCCAAAACGCCGCCTAGCAGAGAAACCCCGATGCCGCCTTTGGTCCCCTTCAGAAAACAGATGAAGCATCACTGATCATTCTCCACTCTCCTGCGTCCTGCTGTCTTTCTCCCAGAGTAAGCACCGGTACTGAGCCACGCCCGTTATTCAAGACGCGCGCGGAGTTTGTAAAAGAAAACAAAAACAGTTTCGCCGACGTCGGAAACCCCCAAAGAAGTGCCGTTTAATTGTTGACGTGCTAAATAGAGCTGTACACGAGTCTTAGACCGTTTTATTTAGATGTAACCCGACATCAGATGATGAAATGCTCGTGGGTCATGTCTCAGGGCAGGGGTGTATAACATGTCAGCCAGGCAGAATATCAGAAGGGCTGGAGTCGGGGGCTGAGTCTGTGCGCCGCCCGGCACTGCACGGCTTCAGCTTTCCTCTTCGCAGTTCTAACCCAGGGCAAGGGCAATCGTGTAAACCCACGCTGACATATCGGAGGACTCATTCTGGGATGGGATTGAGTTTTGAAAACGCCACGGTTTCCTGTTTCTTCGCTTTATAATAATGCGGATCGTGCCCGGTTGAGAACACGTCTCCGAGAAATGTACTTACCGAAGACATAAATTGGTCTGGTGCGGCAAAGTTTATGATTCGAGGAGGGACGTTCCAGAGAATCAGGCTGAAACGGGTGGGACGGTGTTTCCTTCGCCTGTACTTCAGTCTGGCTTTGCTGTAGAAGCGGAGGGAATACAGGCTGCTTTACTATAAAGGTTCAGAGTAGCAGTAAGCGCTGCTCCTTAGCGTTTTACAGTAAGGTGAAATACACAGGAAGCAATAGAAATGAAATGGCATCCTCGTTAATTTGCATTGAAAAAACCCCTCTAACTCTCACATTCTACCCTGAGCACATACAGTTTGATGACGTCCTAGCCATGACCAGGCATCCATTTGAAATGACAATCACGAATTTCATTAATTAATTTGTTTGACTTTATTTTGATATATTACTGTATGTTCTTTTTTTTTTTTTGCTTTTTAATCCTATTGATAATTTCGATCAATTTAAATGTTGAAATGGTAACCATTTTCTACAGATGTAAAAAATCTCTTACTCCATAAATTAGAGTAACCTTTTATGTTTGAGTCAAGCAAATATGCAGATTTGGTACTTCTCTATAAAAAAGAAGATATGTCATTGCTTTTGGCTGAATTTGTAAGCACTGGAGCAGTTATGATGAATAAGTACATTGCAGTTTCAGCTCTGCTACTTCATACAGAGCAGCTTGTGACTGAGGTGTGTGTTTATATATATATGAGAAGTTTAAATGTGTTTGAATGTCTTATTTCTGAGGACCTTTTATCTGGCCTTTTAATTCACCTCAAATTATGTATTAGCTTTCACATGTATTCTTTACACTAGTCCTTATTCCTCGCGGGCAAATAGTCTGCAAGTCCAACAGTGAAATATTACAGAGGAACAAGTAAAGGGTTATTCTGTGCTGAAACAATGACCATGACACCCGAAGAAGCTCCATAGCCGAAACGTTGTGTTTCTTTTCTTCTCTTTTCAGCTGGAATAAACCTGAACTCGTTCCCTTGCAGCCTGCGCATGCAGATGCAGCTACTTACGTGTAGGATAGTGTGGTTGTAAAAAAAGAACACATCCATCAAACCTGTATCTGTCCAGTGTGAAGGTTTACTTTATTTGTATTGATTTGAAAAGCTACTCTTTGCAAATCTGCAGAGACGTTTGCTCATTCATCTCAGTTCTACAAGAAATATTCTCTAGAGTTTCACCCCTCTTGGCACCGTCTATAAATTTGTGCAGCGTCACGTCAACACTGCCAGCGTCAACATCTAGTATTTTATCGTCAAATAGTTTCAATATGCATGTGGAAGCCCAAGAAAGCATACGGTGTCCTCCAAAATTAAAAATCCCCCATTAAGGCTATATTTATAGATTTGGTAAATACAGACAGACACGTAATTTTAAAAGGCAAACGCATTGCGCAGTTTTAAAGACCGGATTTCCTAGAGGTCTCGTTTGCACACGCCCCTGTCCCTAAATGCAGACTAACAAACAGGTGCATCCCAGCTCCCCCTCTTCCCCGTGTGCTTACCTGCCTGTCCCGTGTGCCCTGGACTGGGTCTGCTGCAGACTGCGCCGCGCCCGCTTGCCCCTGTGCCTGAAGGCTCTGGAGCTACACTTTGCTCGACAGCTGATTAGACAGTGCCTGAGCAAAGGGCACAGAGATTGCTTTATATGGAAGAGGCACCTTAACTGCCCAGGGAAGATTAAACCCTGACACATTCTACCACAACAGATCGCCGCACACATGGAAACACAGACACAAACACACACGCTCACTCCCACTCAGGACAGGCGGCCCTGTGGTCTTCGGTAAAACGACCACGTACAGAGTTTCTCACACGCTGGATCGCACTCAGACACAGGTCCTGACATACAGGCTTTGCAGAAGTATGCCGGCATGCTGTGAGTTTAAAGCTCTTTCGCACATCGAGCCCCATGTGAAGTGTGGCCTCCGTTGACACCCTCGGAGCAGTCTGTGCTCTGACAGCAAGGCAAACGAACGCTGGTGCTTCTCTTGCTCTCCAGATGGGCCGAACCCAGAGCGAGAGCACCTGCAGCAACAAGACTCTCCTCATACGTGCAGAGATAATATTCAGGATTTAAGTCTCGAGAGCAAGTTCACTACTAAAGTGTCTCATAACATTTTTTTTTCTTTTAGTTGGAAAAAAATCTTATGCAAAAAATCTGTTTTGTAATTTGGCAAGATCCACTTGGTTGCACAAAGTGAAGGGAACCACTGGGGCCAGTCTCTACTTGCAAAGCCAGGTGGCACCCATGAGCTCACGCACGGCTGGCTGCTCTTCGGCACACAGAGACGTGCTTATGGACCTCTACGCTGGGAATGCATCAATAGCGTTAAACAACTGGCCACAAATTCAGCAGGACAGTATGTGTATTGCAGTGCACTGGATCACTGAATGTGCTCAAATTTGGGGCAGCTGCTCCCAAGATGCTGATTTCATTTTCTGCACCCACCCCCCACCCCCCAAAACACATGCATCAGCTCTTGTGCGCATTATTACAGCTCAATACACAGCAGGGGTATTCAGGATCACACACTGGAGCAGCTGCTTTTAACATGATGTAAAATGCCATCAGCACATTGACGATGTCTAACACCCTTATTGCACAGCAGCCAGCTCAATGAAATTTTTAAAAATGCAAGACCTTGAAACAAACCTTTTTTATCAGACAATCATTCCCTTGCAAGTATGTGGCTCGTGAATAATGGCATATTTTTATGTTTCTAGAGCAACGAATCTCCCTCCTTCGGGTTTGAGATAACGGATGCCCTCTCACCCAGTTCGTGTGGCCAGGGCGGTCTGGGGCACTCTTGATAAGAGCACAGAGCAGGGGAATGAAGGAATGCCCTAGCGCCCCCTCACCATGCACTCCCTGTGACCAGGAGTCTCCAGCCAGGTCTTCCGAGTGCGAACAGCGAAGCGCAAGTGGAACCTACGAGGAAGTGCATTCCCTTAAACACAGGGTTGTGGGGGTATGGCACAAGTCATTCGGCCATGTTGTTGAAGCCCATACCCGGATGTCTTTCGTCTGTAACTGTCCTTGTGTTCTCCTCAAACCCTGGGAGGACCTGGAGAAGTGCGACAGCGCTCACAATCCCAGCTTCGCTCCGTGTTTTAAAAGGGACAGATCACACAGCCATCCCCCTGAGGACGTGGCTGCAATAGATTTTTCTGCAGTTTGAGTTTTGAGTTTGTGCTGACAGCTGGGGGAGCCCTCCCTGGAAAACCAGGGCTCCTCCGTCAGCCCCCGGACAAGGCTGGAGGCTCAGGGTGCACTAGTGTTCCGAAGGCAATCCGATCCCGCGGGATCGCTCTGTCCTTTGACTTTAATGGCTGCATAGAGGCATGTCTCCTCTGGGCTCCCGGAATTCCCTGCCTGCTTCTTCCTGTGAGCTCCGAGGTCCAGGCTGGAGTACACCACTCTCTCCTCCGAGTCCTCCTCCTTCCCAGCTTCTCTCTCCTGCGCGGAAAACAGCACCTGCAGTCAATAATGAGAACAGCAACACCCAGATCTTGTGCCCGTACGTGGGGTGGGGGGAAGGCAATGGGGTTAGGGCCTGAGTTTTTCGATTGTCCCAGTCTTGCTCAGGATCTCACCCTTCTTTCCCCAGGGTAGGAGACATGAGTACAGTGTCTCCGTGAGGGGCAAGCCCAGGTGATCGACAGCTCAGCTCCTCTCTCTCCAACGCCTGACGCCTCCCCAGCAGGTGGGAGGTAGCCAATGAGCAGGCGAGCACAGCACCACCGCAGGCTCTGGGGGAAAGGCTGCTCAGAGCACAAGGGGTCCCCCAAAAGGACCAAGCCTTGGACTGAGAGCCGTGGTGCTGCCAGCAGACGCCAGCGGAAGGACCACTAACAAAATCACTGGTGACCGTCCCCGGAGGTGGAAGGTACTTGCTTCTTCCATGTTATGATTCACACAGTGAACCGGTTTTTGATCTCAGGAATTCTGACCTCTTTTTCGTTTCTGAAATAACAGGCACTACATCGTTTAAACTCCTCAGCTGCTGTGCTGTGCTCAGCCTGTGACAGTCTCCTCCACACTGCCAGTCCAGGGTTTTGATCCCACCCTCATCTTGTCTTATACTGATCCCACCGGGGGTTTCAGGCTCCATTCCTGGAAGGCGGTTAGGAGCTGATTGATCCCAGGATCTCATCCAGCTGTTTCTCGAGAGAAGCCAGGCTATGAGCACCACCAACATAGGTGTGGGGCTTATTCCATAATCCCACAATGCTTTGTGTAAAGAAACGCATCCTATCCTGACGCTTGGATCTCATCCTTCAGTTTCTTGAAGGAGACCTGAGCACCTCCTTCAACCACATGGCTGGGGTGCTTGTTCCAGACCCCACAACACAGCTGGATGAGATCCTTGGATCAATTAGCTAATAATTGCCAAACAAGCTGGAATTTCCAAATGGCCTCTTCTCATTTGTAATAAGGTCTTAAAACCTGGGCAAATGACTCAGAGGCCCTCCAACTTTTTCTGAAGATTGAAATGCTGCTCAGACTGAGCAGGACTCTCCTCAGCTCTAAACCCTAAAGCCTCTGCTTTTCTGCTGCTGTTCCAGATGGCGCTGATAACACAGGTTCAGGGGGTGGACAAGAGTATGTCCAACTCACTAGATCAATTTTCATACAAGGAATAAACAGATTCTGATTAAGGTTGGATGTGGTTGCAGTTACGCATGAAAATAAAATGTTTCTGAAAGTGAAAAATTAATATCTACCCTGACGTGTATTGTATCTAGATCCATATCTTTTGCTTTAATTGCAGCAGCAGCTGTCCAAGCAGTCAGTGTGTTTAGATGTCCAAGGGGCCATGTGGTTTATAATGCTGTTCAGTTACATTGACCTCAGTTATCAACTATAATTGCCTTTTCTCTGTAATGCTGAAGCACGGCCACTAGAGGGAGCCCCAGGAGGTGCCCTGTCTGTCACTTTACCCCGGGGTCAGGCTCGTCACTGACCCCCTTCATCAGGTGCCACAGCAAACATGCTCTCTCTTGGATTTCAGCATGTGAATGGGGACACCTGCAAAACACATGGGCATCAGGCAGAGAGGGTCACCGGGTCTGCTTCTGATCCCCGAGGGACAGGAGGGGCTCACTCTGAAATCCCATCCTGACTGAAGGAGTGTGGAGCCCAGGCAGTCCAACACTATTCATCAGATGCATTTTTGCACATTATTTATTGGAGTGGTGGTGAACAGAACATGACCTTCCCTTCCCTCCCAGGGGAGAGAACAGATTCCTCGGAGTGGGGTTACACACTGGCGATGGAGAGCCAGCATGGGAGTATGATGGATGTGTTTGTGCCACGGCAAGGATCTGCGAGCCATTAATGGTTTTGCATTATGTCAGGGGTGTCCAGTCCTGGTCCTAGAGCTCAGTCAGGGTGTCTGTGGCAAGGCTGTCCAGGCCAGATCTTGTGTGGTCGGTCAGGGTGTCTGCAGCAGGGCTGTCCAGTCCAGGTCCTGGAAGGTCGGTCAGGGTGTCTGCAGCAGGGCTGTCCAGTCCTGGTCCTGCAGGGTCGGTCAGGGTGTCTGCAGCAGGGCTGTCCAGTCCTGGTCCTGCAGGGTCGGTCAGGGTATCTGCAGCACGGCTGTCCAGTCCTGGTCCTGCAGGGTCGGTCAGGGTATCTGCAGCACGGCTGTCCAGTCCAGGTCCTGGAGGGTCGGTCAGTGTGTCTGCAGCACAGCTGTCCAGTCCAGGTCCTGAAGGGTCGGTCAGTGTGTCTGCAGCACGGCTGTTCAGTCCAGGTCCTGAAGGGTCGGTCAGTGTGTCTGCAGCAGGGCTGTTCAGTCCTGGTCCTGCAGGGTCGGTCAGGGTATCTGCAGCACGGCTGTCCAGTCCAGGTCCTGGAGGGTCGGTCAGTGTGTCTGCAGCAGGGCTGTTCAGTCCTGCTCCTGCAGGGTCGGTCAGGGTATCTGCAGCACGGCTGTCCAGTCCAGGTCCTGGAGGGTCGGTCAGTGTGTCTGCAGCAGGGCTGTCCAGTCCTGCTCCTGGAAGGTCAGTCAGGGTGTCTGTTGCAGAAGTGTCCAATTCTGGTCCTGAATTCTGATCCAGGTCTCTTCACAGCAGCACATTTGAAGAGCTGGGAGACTCTATTAAATCGGTCCAGAGAAGCCAGTTCCCAGCTGGTTTTGTTCCTTAAGCAAAAGCTGTAATGAAAACCCACAGACACCCCAGCCCTCCAGGACCAGGGCTGGGCACCCCAGTGTCACGGCCATCAGCTCCATAGCCGAATATACTGAGCAGTGTGTTCTGTTTCCAGTTACTGGGGCTGGTGTTCTGGATAGCAAAATCATTAGAGCTAAAGAGATTAAGAGTTTTGTCAAACCTGATTTTGGTTACAACCCTTAACCCTGGTATCCACTTAGTACCATACTGTAACCATGTGAAATGAGAAGACATGCATGTCTAAACTTACCGATTTTACTGGGCTTTTCTTCACAGCAGCATCTGTAATGAAGTGAGAGAGATTACCGATATATTGCTTTTTACAGCCTTTAACTTCAAACCTGTACACCAATCTCAACATGCTCATCCCTCGCTACGCCAGCATAATTGGTTCCAAAATTATTCCAAAAGTCGGCGTAACTAAGCAAAAGACCACTTATTTCCATTAAAATACACGGAAAGGTCTATGATTCTTTCCAGCTGCTCGTAACTGGTCACACTGTACATACTTTTCTGAAGTATCTGAAGTTTTGGCACCATCATATGCTAAGGATAGGCTACAACAAGTAGAATTGATCAACACTTCGTTATTTTAAATGTATGTCTTATGAAACAGTAATGCGGAGAAATATAATTTGCACGATCTCTGCAATACACAGCAATTAATATAACATGAACTAATCAAACTTTCTTACTAAACCAAAATGATTATGTTCGCAACAGTAACATAGCCGGTGCAGTCAAAATCTAATAAAATCCGCAACTGCAGAAGAGATACTGTACAGAGCATCAACTGTCACAGTATATATAAATACTATGCATTCATAGATGCAACGTTAAAATGTTAACATTTATGGAAGCTTATTAGCGTCACGGAAACAAATATCTCGTTTCTACGAGATAGTATGGCGATTAGATGAGAACATCATCTCGTTTATACGAGATGTTATCGCGTATTACAGGTGGAAAGTCGTGTCATTTCTGCTTGTCACTGAAACGGCGAAAACAATACGCATTTAGCCTGGATATGCCTACTTAGACGGTGTTGTACGTCATGTACAGTATACAAAACACAGCACAAGCTCCTTTCATGATTTTGTTTTCCAAAAACGAGGAGTGTTACGATATTATTCTGCTTTTACAGTCAATGCTACTTTGCACGGGGCAATACTGTAACGCAACGGGGGCTCTGGCGGGCGCCCTTGCCGCATCTGGTCGGCCCCTGCACCGGCCGGCTCTTACACACAGTGCTTGTCGGCCGTAAGCGTTACAATACTATTGCATACTGCCTATAATGCCATGTATTAATATAGTGGGCAGCATTGTTCATATATTAACTATTGCGTTTAAACGCAATAAGTTTCCCGTTTAAACGCAATATTGTATAACCGCAACACTATCTCGTATAAATGAGATGTTTTTACTGGCACACTGAAGTTCGAAGCAGCTCCCACACGCATGCGGAATCGCCAGTCGGAGCTGTCGTGTTACTGCTGTGCTTGCGATGCCAGATAGATGTGACCGTCGGTAGAGCACACCCAATCTCATTCAGAATCTGAAGTAGGTTTCCTAAATTAGGCGTTGCAAGCCAGTTGTCTTAACTGATCTGAGCGTTTGCTAATAATGAAGTTTCCAATGCGTTTGATGCATTTTGAATGGGGCATCTAAAGGCCCCGCTTGATGCAAGAAAGACGACTGGCGGAATATCCCCGGCTGTGGAAGAAGAGAGTGTTAAAAACCGCACATTCTGCCCAATTCAAAAGTCAAAAGCGTAGTTGAAACAGTTAAAGACCGTGAGGCTCACGGCTACCAGGCCTAGGAATCCTGTTATGACGAGGCTTATTGAGAAAGACTTGCGAAAGCGGGGACAATCGAGCGCAAAACTCCCGCTGCCAAAATAGCGACCAGAAAAGAGCCCATCTGCGATTTCTGAAATAGTAACCAGGGACATGAGAACCGAGGAGGCTTTTTGGTCGGTGGAGATTAATACACAGCGACCCCCGAGCAGCAGTGATTCATTTCAAGGGGGTGTGTGAGGAAGGGGTGCAGACAGGGCCAGAGATATCGTTTCAGGCCAGCGTGCGGGCTGCCCCCTGTCCACCACGCATGCGGGGTTGGGTCCGGTGAGGAATCCGGGAGGCCGGCGGCTCGTTTCGGAGGATCACGTCCTGCAGCGGATTCTGCACACGCCGTTCTCGCCCTGCTGCTCTTTAGCTCTGTTTTTGTTTCGATAACTGACAGCCGCCACCGGCCACCGTGTTCCCTCTTTAACACTATGAATTCCACTCCAAGAAATTGTCCGGTCTGACACGGCCAGTCAGTTTGTATTCAAAATCTGCTGCGCCTCGTAACACGGCGACGCCCTTGTGGTCGAAGGGAATGTCTGTTCTGCTCCGGTCTGATACTGGCCCTTGCGCTTCTGGAGTGAAACACACAAGCCTGCCGTTTCTGCTGTCTCTCTTTTCGTCAACTCCACACATTTCCAAAAGCAGAAGAAAACGGCGCCGCACTTTCGAGAAATTGCGTTTTTTTTCCAGCGCTCAGCGGTTCCTTAACTGCAGCTGGATGTCTGAATAGGAAAGGAGATTAATTTTGCAGGGGCGTCTGCAAAAAAATAAAACTTGCTCGTTTTTTCCAGACTCATAATCCCCTTCTATTAAGGATTTAGAAGTAAACTTGATGTTTTAATACTGCAGTTATCTGAAGAATGACTGTATTTATTTCATTATTGACCCACAGATGCTAAAGGGATTTTCTACTTTTTGCTTCATCGTTTCAACATTCAACTGGCCACAAAGTTTCAGCAGTAAGATTAAATCCTAATGACTGTAACAGAGGGATGGTATGTTGAGAGTATCTGGCATGAAGCTCCTAGCTGAGGGAGAGCCAGTCTAGCTGAGAGGGTAAGAGCTCTATACACTAATTTACCGAGATCAGTTTCAATAGTTGGATCAGGTCCTAATGACTGTGATAGAGGAGTGAGATATGCAGAGTATCTGGAGTGACTCTCCTAGCTGAAAGTCCTGCCCAAACCCCTCACTATTGCCAGGGTTGAGTCAGGGAGCTGCTGCAGGGGTGTAGTTGGGGTGTCTGAGACTTGTATACATACAGTAGGTGAGCAGAACTGAGCACGGTTAGGATCATGCACTTCTGTAATAAACTCCAGCTGCAGTTCTCTTTTGCAGTACAGCGTTGATGATACTAACTATCGCCTCCTTCGTTAACAGATGGAAACAGTGGAAGTGGTCAGTGATTTTTGCTGTCTAGCTTGTGAGGCTGAGTGTTGGGGGGGACTCAGTCTCTCATAACGGCAACGCTGCTAGGAGACAGACAAGACCGGTCCAGCCTGGCTCTGAGATCTCGCTCCACAGGGATAGGATGAGAGGAGGTGAGAGGAGGGAAAGGGATACTCCCATGTTTCCTGATCCCAGCACGAGCCTGGACAACCAAGAGACCATGTGCGCTCAGTCCTCAGAGCACGGAGTCAGCCAGCGGACTCCTTCAGAAACGCAAACCCCAGGGCACAAGTGAAGCCTATCCTGAGGTCCGTTTGAGTGCATTAGAAATGATCTGAGTGTTTGCTGGTTATGAAGTGTCCGACACTCTTTCTTTCCATGAGAAAAAGAGGCACTTCTTTACGCCAAGGGCTGTGGGAGTGTGGAACAAGCTGCCCATCTGTGTTCTTGAAGGTGGCTTCTTTCAGAGGCCGCTGGTGGGACCCCTGGATTATTTCGATAGTGAGTTATAAACAGGTCGGATGGGCCTGATGACCTCCTGTCATGTGTAATGATTTATTCTGAAGTATCTGGCACGCTGGCAGGCCCTGGCTTTCAGCTCGCAGAGAGCTGATGGCATCCGACGATAAACTCATCCTTCAGGATGGAGCTGCAGGAGCACCTGGTGTGTTCGGGGTGGGGGGGGGGAGGTTGCCGTCTGGTCCAGACAGCCTCACTTGTTCAGTCTAGCAGGAGGTAGGTGTTTGTGTGTGGGGGGGGGGGGGCAGAGAACCGCTGGCACGCTCGGGGCTGTGAACAGAGGACCTTATCCGTGAGGAACCCGCGCTGGAGAGTCACGGACTTCAGCGCTGGAATGGAAGGGGAGGGGTTAGCGCGCATGCAGTTCCAGCCGCGGCGGTATCATTCAATTACAGCAGATCCCCAGCTCTGACCTTTGTACTAACGTCCTCGGCTCCAGCGCTGGACTGAAAAGCACGTGTAAGCTGCGTTAAAGACAAAGCAAAGATCCAGAGCTCCTGTTTAAATGTCAAGCCCAGCTGAACCTGCCAGGTCAAGCAGGGCCTGGCCGGGGCTGACGAGGTCTCCGCCCCTCCTGGCCGTGCAGGGTGCTGTACTTACAAACGGTCTGAACCAGAACCTCATCCTGGGGGTCATGGCTGTCTGCTGGGCCACTCCTGCGGTTGACACAGACAAGGAAACGTCTCACCAGAGTGCAAGGCAACACCTTCCTGAACCACAGCTCACGTCTAGCAGAGCCTGATGGTCACATCCAGCCCTAACTGCAGGTGAGTTTTACAGCCCCTGCTGTGTCCTCAGCTCTCCATGAGTGAACTGTTACTGTAGTGCTCTGAAGGTGGCCTGAAAGAGGTGTGTGATTTTTTAAAACCCGTTCAAATATCAGCACTGCAGATCTGCAGTCTGCCTGTTTTTAAAGCGTAAAACTTTGTTAAACTTTCTAACTTTTATTGTGAGTTTCAACTGGCCTCAAAAGGACTGTCAGGGCAGTTGTGGCACTCACCCATAGACTGTACCTGCTGAACATGACCTCTGGCCAAAATGTTAGGAACCCCCACTTAATAAGGCTCCAGACTGTTTTCAGCAGCAAGAACAAAGTTTTAAATATTCACAGCCCCGTCCCATCCTGGTCTTTCAGCGGGATGAGGGTAAAGGCAGGTGGGGACTGAACTGCAGGTTCAACTGGTGCCACCAGGTCTGGACAGGATGGAGAACTGGGGCGTGCTCTGGACGGGAAGGATGATACAATTCCACCTCTTGTTCCTCTAGCCACCCAGACACTGCCAGCAGAAAGTCAAGTGAATTAACTGGGAGACGGGGGAGATTTCTAATGATTTGGCCAGTGGATGCACCAAAAATAAGGTGTTTTCTACAGACATTTAGGATTGATGAATACTTACCAAATTTGGGTATCCATTCGTGCAGTGCCTGCAGTACAGAAATACAGATATGTGAGCAATGTTGTGAATGTTGGCTTACAGCAGATCTCACTTGGTTACTCAGCAGCCCATCTGTCTGAACCGAAAAGGAAATATAATTTAAAAGCCTCGCAATTAAAAAGGTGGAGACTCTTCCCTGATTGCATTTGTCAGCAGATACGGCTAAGCATTAACTTCATTAACTTCTGCGATATCGTGCTTGAGCTTGTGTTCTTTAGGACACTGCCTATAGTGGCCTAAACTGTGAACCGGAGGACTTTCTCTCCTGCTCCCTCACTTACAGGAACACCAAGAGGCCTGACCTCCTACATCTGCGTCAGCTGCACCAGAAGCAAGCTCAGATCTGGGTTTGTTTTCTTTGCTGAATATGAAAACCCACAGGCTTCCTGTCTGCAAGTTTCTGTCCAGGCTTTTGTCAGAAGTGTGGAATTTTACCTCGTCGCATCTTGCAAAAGCACAGTGCTGCTGCAGAGAAAACCAGCACCAGCGCCCCAGCTGTGACGACAATTAACCACATCTCGAAGCCTCCAGCCTCTGCAGTGAGAGAGGGGGATCTGTTAAAGCAGGGCTCTTGACTGGTTGCTCAGTTTGAGATGATGGACTGCTCTAGGAAAAATCGGGAAGGGTTCTTTTTCCTTGCATTTCCTGATGATGGGCCTGATTGTGGAATTTTCGCCAGACCACTGTAGAAATGTTTTTATACCTCTCCCCAGTTCTGTGCCACCTCAACAAATCTATCACAGAGCTGTACGGATACCTCCTTGGTCTTTTTAGTAGAGGTTCTGCCATGACATGTACTGTCAACCGAGGGACCTTAAACAGACAGGTGTGTTTCTTCTGAGATTGTGTCAACCCAATGTACAGAGCACAGGAGGACTCTATTCTGGCTTCAGAGTGATCTCACTAGGAAATTAGAAGCACTTGGGCTCCAACGCAGAAAAACACACTTACGCAAAGGCCAGTTTTTCCAGAAGCCAAATATCCGGTCAGTTTGTCTTTCAACTGTGGGAGCAAACCTATGCAAAACACTGGGAGAACATGCAAACTCCACACAGACAGTACCCCAGGTCTGGACCTGTGCCTAGGGCCCCAGCGGTGTGAGGCAGGTGTCACTGTGCTGCCCTAGGGCCTGGAGGAACTACAGAACTACATGCTGTGTGTATCAGCTGCATCTAGGCAGTAGTCTCAAGCCTGAATGTGAATGCTTTTAATACTCCGTGGTTTAGAGACAGTGAATAATCATTCAGTCTGGTTATGTGTTTCCTATTTATTTAGTTAAAAAGATTACAAAGGGGAAGTGTGACAGGCAGATCTTATCATTTTCCAACCACTGGTCTCTCTACACATCACTGATCTTCGTGACATTTAGATTTTCTCTGCAGTTCTCATCTGTCTGGCCTGTACTGGTATTGTGCAGCCCATTAAATGTTAGATCAGGATTTATCTGCATTTTGTAAAGTCTGTCTTAAGAATCCTAATCCTGAGGATTGTTCCAGCCCAGCCACGGAAGTGAAGGGATTAAATCCTTATAAACTCACCAGTATCCACTACCCTGGAATGCCTAACGACTTAGTTAAACAAGAAAATGATTTCAGTCCTTGTTAAGATGAAGAATTCTGTTCCAGGAGCTATCTCGGTTTTTGAGCGCTGAGGTAATAGTTAAAATGGGTGCCTGTGCTTGAACCAAGACTCGGTGGCAGTGTGGGGGAGGTCCTGAATTCTGGTGTGGTGACGGCTGTTACAGTAAGTGAGAAACGACCCAGTTACCTCCACAGCTAACATTATTCACACCTTGCAAACGGCACCCACAGCTGCAGTGTGGGCCAGGCAAGTCTGAGGCAGGTGTCTGTTTAACTGCTCTGTTCCTGTTCGCTGTCTGACTTGTTTTACACAGAAAGCACAGGAAATACCCAGGAGTTTACTTTCTGTAATTTCTCCAAAGCATTTTGTTTTTGAGAAAAATGTCACCGGGCAGCCCACATGGAGTAATCATGTTAATGAATGGCCTTGAACATGTGCGACTGCCTTTGCTTCAATGCATACCTGCGAATCTTTTTAAAAACCAATGAGGCCGTGTAAGCTCAGGGACGGAGACGCTTACTGTGTCCCCAGCCCTGATGCTGTGAAGTCTTGCTCTAATTTGTCTTCTGCTGGTGTTGCCTTCAGTTCTTTGCCATTCAAGCCTACAAGACTTAAAATCAGCTCATTACTTGGAAATTAGCAAGAGAAGCACGTTAGACTTGCTCTTAAAGTCTGTGATTTATCTTAAGTCAGTTGAAGAGGCACAGTACACAGGAGGTCTTGTAATGTACTTAGGCATCTGTTTCATTTTAGATTTGTTCGGAAGGTCTGTTTCAGGGGTTTAGGGTGTCCAGTTGTTATGAATAAAGCATTGGAACAGATTTCCTCATACTCCCATGCCACACATTCTTCCCGCACACAATTTGCATCATGCCTGTATGATAAGCAAGGCCATTGGTGTGTTTGTGCCTGCTCCTTTGTGTGCTTCGTAATTTACTGCTGCTCTTCGTAATAACTGCTCTTGCACAAGCTCTGTAAAGGGCTTCCATTTGAATACTGGAATATGACACGAGTGTTGCGTTTAAAATTAAGGTACATGCTGAGTTTAATCTGAATTACCTTTAGAAACAGGCAGACTGAAAGTGGAGTTCAGAAGCCACCCTGAAGCTGTGAGCTGACATCTGCAGGTGTATTTAAGCCCTTCGGTCATGCTGACCCCAGTGAAGGCGACTGCGTGCTGTGCTGTGCTCTCCACTGCAAGCGGCTCAGGGTGAGTCTCCCTGTGCAGGGAGAAGGAGCTGCAGTTGACACTCGGGGGGGCGGAGCAGTGAATGACTCTCTTCGTCTGGTCCAGGGTAATGGCTGGTCGGGGCAGGTCTGCAGGAGAAATCACAAGGTCAGGTCATCCCTTTATGCTTTACTGACCAAGATACTGTTAGAGAGAAATATGGCTTTTCACACTGTTGAGAGGTTCTCTGTGAATTTTGTACACACTTCTTTTGCTGAAGCTGCAGTATTTTATAAATTGGACATTCAGAACTAGTTTGAACTGGATTAGAAGAATGCTGGACACAAGAACTACTACAGTATGTAATTCTGTGCTGTGTTTTATAGGGATACGTGCTACGTGCTAATTGTGTTAAAAGAAGTTGTCTTCGGCAAGTACGGAAGAGGAAGATGTGCGTGAGTTTGTAACGCTGCCAATCGGATCAGCACAGGGAAGCACGATAGGTAGCAGAAAACTATTTAAGGACTGTTCTATTTTAATTACTTTGAGAAAAATACACAGAGCATCTCTGTTTGTTTCGCTCCCATGCACCTTACACTTATATAGCGCTTTTCTGGACACTCCACTCAAAGCTCTTTACAGCCATAGTGCACCAGTCCGCTCCCCCCACACCAGCTCTCAGTGGGGAGGAGAGCAGAGTGGTGAAGCCAGTTCAGAGAGGGGGGTTATTAGGAGGCCATGACTGGTAAAGGCCAATGGGACATTTGGCCAGGAGGCTGGGGTTACACCCCTACTCTTCTCGAGAAACATCCTGGGATTTTTAATGACCACAGAGAGTCAGGACCTTGGTTTTACGTCTCCTACAAAGGACAGTGCCTGTTTACAGTACAGTGTCCCCATCACTATACTGTGGTTGATTAGGACCCACACAGACCGCAGGGTGAGCGCCCCCTGCTGGCCCCACTAACACCTCTTCCAGCAGCAACCTTAGCTTTTCCCAGGAGGTCTCCCATCCAGGTACTGGCCAGGCTCACACCTGCTTCAGTGGGTTGCCAGTTGCGAATTGCAGGGTGATATGACTGCTGGAAATAAATGAATTAAAAACTTCTTTTAACTTATGAGATGGACCACTGACTGTCTTTTAGGGGGAAAATGTATCCAACAACATGTTGCTTTTGGTTTTTAAAAACTACCATCCTGAAGGGTGAGCTACGTTTGGACAGGGCCTGACCTCTGCTGAACTGACCTTTAACAGGGAATCTTGGCAGCAGTGTTAACTTGCTTGTGGGAATCGGAAACCGACCTCAACAGCTTCCTCTCCAGGCAGGAGAGGTCCCATCTGGAAGTGTGATTGCTCAGCTTGTGCAGTATCTCTGACAGACTAACATTTTCACAAATTCACTAGACATTTTTAATAGATATTTCAGCGTCCCAAATGTATGTTGTAAATACGTAAGTACTATGTCAAGATCCCCCGGTGCAGCTTACATCATGATGGGTGACTCAGTGTGGTGTGATCAGGTGTGCACAGGTATACGCTCCGATTGTGCATTAATAACGGGAGAACGGACAGCCGTCCCCAGGTCTACAAAACCACTCTGCTGGTCTGGTGCCCCAGCCTGTCTGCGGGGCCTGCATGCAGAAAGGAGCTGATTCTGCCCCAGCTGGGTTTCACCTCCAGAGCATCTTATCTGGCAATGTGTTGCTGCTAGAGACAGGTTCCCAGCAGCGCATTTTCGTAAAATACACCCGAAAGCGGGTAGATTAACGCAGGCAGCCAGGCTAATAGCTGTGTGAGCTTTGTTTTCTACAGAGCAACCCATTAAATGTATCTGTGACAGGATCTGGTTTGCAGGGTCGGAACGTCCGTTTCTTACCCAGTACGGACACGTTGACGGCAGCAGAGCTCTCAGAGTACAGCCAGCCGGTCTCTGCCATGACATGGTATTGGCAGGAGAAGGAGCTCTGCTCTCGCTGCGCCTGTGCTGTGAAGGTGCAGCTCTTGTCTCCACTTACGCCACCCTTTTCCCCCACGTTCTGACTGCTGTCGAGCAGGTAGAAAACAATTGTGTTGGTGTAGCTGTGCGTCAGCCGGCAGGTGATTGTCAGTGTCTCTCCCTTCACAGCGACAGGCCTGTCAGGGCTGATGGTCAGCTCCGGGGCACCTGCGATGGAAAAAAAAGACACAGAGACTTTAATTTACCTGGTGAATTATATTCGTATTGGCCTCCCCCATGCTGCCTGGATCCCCCCCTTGCTGTCCAGTCTCTGTGTTGTTTCAGTTTCAGCACAGGACGTGCTGCACGCGTGAGGCCGCCTGTGGACTGTGCAGGAGCCCGGAGCAGTGGAAAGGACAAAGGACAGAGCACTGCGCCACCCTGCCACAGTTACACTGCACATAACATCTGTACTTTAACATGAAGGCAGATCTGTAGAACCATAGATCAGGTAAGAGGCTTTGAAAAAAGTGCTGGATCACTTTGCTGAAATGCTGGTGTAAGAAAACATCTGCATTTGAGTTTGCCTACAGTATGAATGAACAGTTTGTTACCTGAATGTTCAGTGTATGTTAGGCCCTATCCAGAGCTCCTTCATAAAAGTAAGAAAACTGTTTCTTCTTACCTAATATTGTGAGATTATACACAGAGCTGATACCAAGCCTCTGCCCGTCTCTGAGAATCTTGCAGCTATAGTTCCCACTGTTCTGCAATGATGTCTTGATGACATAGGAATCAACAAAACTCCTTTTCATCTCCTTTGAGTCTTTCAGGAAGACAATGGTGTCGTTTTCCTTGTGGAGTTCATTCCGGTAACAAAGCACAGACAGCCATTCTGGGCCCTTGGAATTCACAATTATCTTAGGTCTTAAGGCATCTCGAGAGAGAAAAACACAGCACATTGAGTTGTTCTGCAATCGTTTTAAAACATGCACAAATGATACAAAACATGACCGTGTGAATACTTATTCCTAAAATATGATTCTAACCATTCCTGCAAAAATGTAAGAATGTAGAAACAGGCCAAACACAAAGAGTGAAACTGAAAAAAAAAATGGAAAATGTTTCTGTTGTCATACAACAGGAGTCTGCAGTCCACCATCAAGAGACTTTACAGTGACATTGGGAAAGCAGAAAATAAATCATTTTCATTAAAAAAATTACCTTACTCCTTACAATGTTCAACCAAAGAAAAAAAAATGAATAAAGACAAATACTACATGAGTGACCTCTCGCCAGAGGCCCAGTGTAAAGAAGGAATGAGAAACTCGAGCTTTGCTTTTATTTAAAGTTGGAAAAGGTGAAAAGTCGACTTCTCCTCTTAAAAACAATCCTTGAATATAGTTAAACGGAAGGACCTGCAATCCATTCACTAATGGTAAAGATTAATTCTGGATTTTTCTATGAAATTATAGAATAAGATCTGTAAATAATTATTTAAGAGCGATTCTGTACTTGTAAAATGCAACACAATTTGTAAGGTCTGAGACAATAGTGTGATCTGAATACTCATAACCACCTGCTGCACTTTCAACACCGAAAACTGAAGACGACACTTACAGTCTTTCCCTGCAGAGCAGGTCCAAATCCAGAACATCAGAATGGGGTTCAATTCCATTATGCCTCTGGAGCAAAGAAGGAGAGATCACAGTTTTGTAATATAACAGACTCAGCTGCTTTTTAATGACGTGTGCACTTTCATTAACGGCTTCTTCAGTAATTGTGCTCCATCCTTCTTTTTCTGACACTTTGCATTTCAGATTTGTGTGACGGGACACACCGCCAGAGCTCTGTCTCTCACGTTCAGCAATGTCAGCACAACGAGAAGATGAACCCGCAACCCAGCAGCCAGAGAGGAAGTCGCAGCAGTCCTGCAGCCATTCACCAGATTCAAGGGTGTGCTTCTCTGGCTAAACTTCATGCTGTCTCATTTAAACCTTTTCTTATTTGACATTTTTTTCAAAGCATGCACGGCTGGAGTGCTGATGTTTCTCAACCCATTTTCACAGAAAGTTTCAAAGCCTCTTACCTGATCGATGGCTCTGCAGATCTGCCTTCATGTTAAAGTGCAGACGTTATGTGCATTATAACTGTGTCAGAGATGGACTTTGCAGTCGAGCTTAACTTGCAAAGTTTCTCCTGAGAGCACAGGAGTGGAGATTTCCATTATAATGCAACCAAGTCAAGTGAATATTGTGCATATAGGGACCAGAATTAACTTGTCTATAACATTGCACACACAGCAACAACTGGATCTTTTAAACGTTAATATAATAAAAAGTTCTGGACTCTTTCAAATGTCTTACGCATGACCTCGGGGCATGAACCAGCTAGAGGAACAGATAGGAACAGTTTAAGGGTTATTTGTCAGACCAGTCTCTGCAGTGGACACCATTATAAAAAGAGTGTAAGGATAAACAACTGTGTGGGCTGATAATCCAGACACACGACATCATCAGGGTTTCATTTTGTGAGGGTCTGACTGACAGACCTGCTAGATGAAATCATGGAGGTCTTCCCCTATAGTTTCTTCACTTGAGCTTGGGCCCATCATTGTAGAGACTCACACCACAGCTCACACTCACCAGGGTCAATTTTCCTAGAGGCCAATTGACCTACCAGTATGCCTCTGGACTGCGAGAAGAAACCCACACAAACACAGGGAGAACATGCAAACTCCACACAGACAGCACCCCAGGACTTGAACCCAGGGTCCTGGACCTGCAGGACAGCAATGCTGACCACTGTGCCACCATGCTGCCTCTACACCAACCACTTGATCCCATTTGGCAGACAACAACAGCATTCCCATGACAGTGAGTCCTAAATCCTAACCACAGGGAGCTGATTTGACAGAATCAACCTTAACCTTCTGTATTTACTGGTGGATTAGAAACTGTTGTGTTTGCAGCATTTTTCTTCCATTTATCCAACTCCTAGTTTTATTGAGTGAAACACGTCAAAGGGACAATACATCTCAAAGTGAAAGTAATGCTTTTCCCACAGCAGATTATACTCCCAGTCTGGTGAGAAAGCACAGGCCTCAGTACAGGAGCAGGGCCTCGTGGCCCTGCTCCTGTACCTGTATAAAAAGGTATAATTGCAGCCCCCTGAAGAGAGGATAAATGATTAGTTGCTGTATCAGGAATGCAGGGCTCTTCACTCTGAAATGGGTGGAGGGAAAAGGAAAGAAAATCCTAAACTAAAGTTTGTTGATTGCATGAGTCTTCACTCTCTTTGATCGTCTAAATCTAACCTAGATTAGGTTACACAATGACTTTCACAGGTCACGCAATTATTCAAATGGCTGTGTGCAGTGATAGCTTGAAAATGGGGACTGCTGCAAGACGTGCAGTAGTTCTCCTGGACAGCTGGATCTCCGTGAGGCTCAACAGTAAATGGTCCTTAATATTCATGTTTGTTGTTGGTTTTCTTTTCTGTTTTCCAATATTTTTTTTTTCTCATGACCGCCTGCCTCAATGCTTTCATTAAAGGGAAGAACATGGGACAGGGAGCCAATCCGCCAGCCCACCTCACCCATCTGGCAGTGAGTAACGAATTGAAGCCAGGTTGTCGAGTATGACACCATGGCTGGGTAGCTTGTTCCATAATCCCACAGCCCTCTGTGTAAGGTAAAGCTGCCCTGTTTCCTGATGATGCCTCATGATTGCCTAGAACAGGACTCGCTTGTGCCTGTGGGGTAAATGCAGCTCTGCTCCCAAACCCCTTTCCAGGGACAGAGGTCACCACCACCGGGGCATTCAGTGCTATCCAGGCTCCGAGAGGGTGATGCGACCTTCTGGAACAGGCTCAGTGCACGATGAGCCCTGCAGCTCCAAAGCGCTGCACCCAGTTGATGGTGCAGCACTCTGACTGTGACCCTTGACACTGCGTGGAGGCTGAGACTGACCGTCAGGCGCCGATGGCTGTTTCAGCACACTCGGCCAACCAATAAGCCTCCTTCGCCAGCTGTCCGTTTCAAGAAGCAGACTGCGAGGGGGGAGATCGGCCGCAGTTTCAAGTCCAGCTCTGGGCAGATGAAGTGCAAAGACCATAGAGGAAAACCGAGGGCTCAGAATAAATTCTCTGAAAGTCTTTTCACTTCCTTTCACATACGTGTGGCTCCGGACTATGGTCACGTCAGGCTGGGCGTGATCTGAGCCGCAGGCACTGTGGGGCGATGAGACTGAGTCTGGTTCGTCTGTTTTCTGCAGCTCATCTACATCACGGTATCTCACCCCTGGCTTTTTTTGTGTTGGTGGGCTTTAGGGGTAGTAAAAACTCTTTTGTAGTTTGTCTGTTGATATTACCATGCTATTTTTATATGGAGGTGTGGCAAATGAGTGTATTCATGTAGTGTATTCAGATAGGCTGCATATTTCACATCTAACAGCAGCTAATAGATGAAAGCCAAGTGCCAAATTCAAGCCTGCAAAAGGCTGTACATAACACTCACACAAAAACTGTACATACACACTTAGAGGATCAGAAAATATTCAAAATGTTTGTGACAAGGGAAATCAAATTTATTGTATTTTTACTGTTGCGGGAAGGCAACATTTTCTTATGGCTCTGTAGTATAGTGTAGCAAAGAGCGCTGCACCTCATAAAATGACTGATTGATGAATGATTGATTAGGTCAGCGTACACTGAGTTGCCTGCAGAGCTCTCGGTTACCAAAGCGACGCTATAGATGCTCTAACCCGGAAAAAACTACACTTCCCAAACTGCATTGCCACTGCTGAGAGGTCAAAGTGCACAAAACAAGAACATGCCTCTGCTTGTTTAAAGGGCTGCTTAGCGCAGCGCAGCCTGGCAGCGCTGTTGGTCAATAGGATTGTTCTGAATCCACCAGGTAGAGTAAGTTTTGTTTTTTATTCGGGATTTAACTTGTTTTACTTATATACACAACAAGCAGCATCTAAAAATGGTACTAAAAATGTATTTTTGTAGTACCTGACTTTTAACTAATCGGTCAAGTATTCAGCGGTGAGAATTTGGGTTATGCTGTGTGCTGTACTCGTAGCGAGCACTTTCCCAGGAGACCTTCTGTATAACGAGAGTTCTGGTATAACAGGGACAGACATAAAGTGCTGTCAAACATCATTCATGAAAAGACTGGAGAAGCGTTGTAATTTTCGACGAACTCGGAGCGCTGTTAGTGCTTTTGTATTAGACGTAAGAGCAAAAAAAAGCACAGCGCTTTTACCCGGCAAAACCCGAGAAGTGGGTTTAAATTACCCATGGAGCGCTATCGTGAATACAGTAGTTTACCAGTGAATATCGGGTCTGTACAGGACTGCGGCAGCGAGGTGAACCGAGCCCACGCAAAGAGTCCTTAAGATAAGAGGGAGCCTGGCCAGTGATCGTGTATATAGTAATAATAATTCATCATTCCTTACACTTATATAGCGCTTTTCTGGACACCCCACTCAAAGCGCTTTACAGGTCATGGGGATCCCCTCCACCCCCACCAGTGTGCAGCCCCACCTGGATGATGCGCCAGTCTGCTCCCCACACACCAGCTCTCAGTGGGGAGGAGAGCAGAGTGATGGAGCCAGCTCAGAGATGGGGGTCATTAGGAGGCCATTATTGATAAAGGCCAATGGGAAAGGCCAGGACACCAGGGTTACACCCCTACTCTGGATATGTGCTGGGATTTTTAATGACCACAGAGAGTCAGGACCTCGGTGTTATGTCTTATCCGATGGACAGCAGATTTTTTTTTTTTTACAGTATAGTGCCCCCATCACTATGCTGGGGCATTAGGATCCACGTAGACCGCAGGGTGAGCGCCCCCTGCTGGCCCCACTAACACCTCTTCCAGCAGCAGCCTTAGTTTTTCCCAGGAGGTCTCCCATCCAGGTATTGACCAGGCTCACTGGTCACCAGCTCACCTGCTGGGCTCCAGTGGGCTGCCAGCTGTGAGTTGCAGAGTGACATGGCTGCTGGCTTCCAGGACGTGACGGTAAAGTCTCCTGTAGATCAGTGCTGTTTGCACATGTTTAGTCAGCTGTTGTCATAGCTGGGGAAAAGACATTTAGTCTGGCCCCAGAATAAAAATGATATTTTACATAAAATATGCTGATGCTTTAATAGACAGTATATTGGCAGGGGCTGGTGGCAGAGAGAATTTCTGTGAACCGTGAGCAGAAACCACTTGACTGTGAGATTTACTTCAATAAGGTGGGCCAGAGAGCAGACCTTCCAGTGACACGCCACAGGTTACTGCAATACTGTACTTTTTGCTGTATCTATCTGGACATTTGCTTTGTTCCTTTACAGTAGAAGACACCTTTATTTGTCTCGTCTTTTCTGTTTCTTTTCCAGTGACTTTGGAAAATTGACGATGCCTTATCTTTCCTTTTTTTCAGTCCACAACTCCGATGCTTTCTGGCTCCGTGTCTGACATCCTGTCGACTGTCTGCCTGTCAGCAATGCACGTTTAATCCTGTCTGTTTTCACTTCCTGCTGCTCTGTGTCTGGCCAGCAGGTGGCGTGTCACACAGCTGATCCCGGGTCCCGGCACATTCCGACAGCCCGGACTGGCGTCCCAGTAGGATCACCCGGGCCGTGTCTGCGATGTCCCAGGAGACAAGGTTCCAGACTTTTGTCTTTGTGGACCTGGAGGGGACGGGCCTGGATCGGCCGCGGCTGACGGAGCTGTGCCTGACCGCGGTGCACCGCTATTCCCTGGAGAACCCTCCCCATCCTGCAGGGGGCGCCCCCGCGCTGCCCCGGGTCCTGGACAAGCTGTGCCTGTGTGCCTACCCCAACAAGCCGGTCTGCCCCCGCGCGGCCCGGCTCAGCGGGCTGAGCAACGAGAACCTGACGGAGAACGGGAAGCCGGGCTTCGACGGGGCGGCGGTCACCCTGATCCGGGCCTTCCTGCAGAGGCAGGCTCCGCCCGTGTGCCTGGTGGCGCACTGCGGCTCCCGCTACGACTTCCCCCTCCTGCGGACCGAGCTGTGGCGCCTGGGCTCGGACCTGCCCGGCGGGCTCCACTGCGCCGACACCCACCTGGCGCTCCGGGAGCTCTTGGGCGCCCCCTGCAGGCCGGCGCCCTGCGGCTTCAGCCTGCCCGAGCTGTACCGCAGGTTTTACAGCCGCTATCCCGCCGCGTCGCACACCGCGGAGGCCGACGCCCTCGCCCTGCTCTCCGTCTTCCTGGCCAAGGCGCCCGAGCTGCTGAGCTGGGCGGATCTCAATGCCCGCCCCTGGGACGAGGTCCAGCCCGCCTTCCAGCCGCCCGCGAAGATTCCCAGGAGGGAGGTGGAGGAGAGAGAGGGCTGCGCGAGTCCGGCCCCCCCTGAATAGAAACGGTGTTTGCTGGGAGTGGGACCGCGACGCGCGCACGCACACCACTTTGGTGCAGGAGCGCGATTCTGCTCACCTGACCGCTCTGTGTTCGGGAATGACGAGCGCTGTGGAGCGCTGGGAGCTTCCCAGGGCTTTGTTGACCTTTTTAGAAATCTGTGCTTGGAGATCGATGGAGATCTCGCAGCAGACGTGTCTTTTACAGCAGTTTCAAGAGATGGAATTCAGCTGTCATGCAAAGCAAGCCACTTCCCCAGCTCCTGTACACCTCAGGGTCCAGATCGTGAAGCTCAGGGGACTGTGTGTTTTATTTGATTAAAGGGAGGAAATCCTAAAGCACAAAAAACAAAGGGAAAATGTCAAAGTCCATTTAGGGACTCTTAAATTAGCATTATGTGTGATCTCATCCTACAGTTTTTTTAATTATGAAATTTATATCCCTTCGGCGCCTATACAATGTGCAAGTGCTATACTGGTACAATATTGTGTTGTAATATTTCTATTTTGAATGTGTACTCTTCAACGAATGATTTTAAGACTCCTGTGCTTTTATGTTCTAAGATTTTGCAGGATTTAGTTTCATATTGTAAGAACTAAAACTGTAAACATGAGACAAGAACCCTCCCAGTCCTGCCAGGCTTCTCATTTTCTGATCTAATGTTTCTAAAATACAATAATTTATTTTATGTAAACGTTTTCATTTCAAATGATCCCAGAGTAGGACTCTGAACTAACTGAGGAACTCCAGGCAGGCCAGAGTGGAATTTAGCTGGAGAAACACTCTTAGCAACTGTGCCATGTGTTTTTTTTTAACAACAAAGTCATCCTAAAGCTGTTTTAACATCTCATTCAAAGGACAGTGACCCCTGTCACCATACTGTGACACTAGTTTGGAAATTCCTGTCTGGGGAAAGAGCTCCACCTACTGGTCCACCAGCACCATGTACAGCAGCAGCCTGGTTTTAGTTTCATGCCTCCTCTCCCAGGGCTGACCAGGCCCAGCCTTGCTGAGCTTCAGAGATTGAAGATCTGGCTACCGGATGGTCAGAAGCAGTACCAGCCCTGGACAGGAGTTCAGGGACAGTTTGAGCAGTGCACAGACATGAAGAGCTGTGCGACTCTGGCCGGTACCTGGATGGGAGACCTCCTGGGAAAGCTCAGGCTGCTGCTGGAAGAGGTGTTAGTGGGACCTGTAGGGAGCGCTCGGTCTGCGGTCTGTGTGGGCCTTTAATACCAAGACTCTCTGTGGTTGTTAAAATGCCCACGGATATTCTCAGAGAGGTTAAGGGTGTTCATCCTGGAGTCCTGGCCAAATTTCCCCCTGGCCTTTACCAGTCGTGGCCTCCTAATAATCCCTCATCTCCGAACTGGCTTCTTCACTGCTCTCCTCCCCACTGAGAGCTGGTGTGTGGGGGGAATACAGTGCACTCACATCACCCAGGGGGGCTGCTCACTGGTGGTGGTGGAGAGGATCCCCATTAGCTGTAAAGGAGTCTCCAGAAAAGCACTGAGTTTGTAAGTGTAAAAATCTGTAATAGGCGACAGTTGACTGGGAATAGTCAATCTGTCTTCTTCAGTGAGGCCCAGTTCCAGCTGTAATCCAGCCAGGTCCTCATCCTCGAAACTCAGCTCTTCAGAGCTAAGTCTGTATCACCAGTGTAGAAGCTGCAAACTGATGGGTTTGTATTTAATTCATCTTGAAACAGTTAAATCTGTGCAGGTCAGTTTTCCACCACATCATGCTCAGTTACTCTGAAGACACAGAAATGAAGATTTTGTTCTGGGCATCAGATCGGGGTGATGAACTTTCGAATCTCTTGACTTTCAAAATGTGTGACTATAGGGACAGCGGTAGTATAGGTACCTATAGTCTGATTCACTATTAACTGAAGTGATAAGAATTGAGGACATGTAACGTTTGATACGTGTCTAATGTGGTTTTGCTAGCTAAAATCTTAAAATTTTAATGAGAGAATTAAAATATGTCTGACGTGCATAATACCAATATTATTTCTGCATTCATGTTTTTATCAAATAATGGTTTGTCCCAAGTTCGTGCGGCTACTTTCGGCGGTGAACAATTGAGTATTGGGACCAGCAGGGGGAGCCCGTCTCGGCTACCGCAGGGGTTAGACATGTTAATCGCAATAGAAAACTACTGCAACTGCTATTATTGTTGTTGTTGAAATATATGTGGGAAAATGGGAAGATGACTTGCTGTTTCTTACACGAGCTGTTTAAGAATGTATTTACACCTTCAAAGTTTCGTTTTTATTTTATACGTAACGGATTCCCCAACATACGCATAGAGAAGTCTTACTTTTAGTATTTCTTAAACATTTGATCCCATTTTCCCTAATGCTGGGTGGTTGGAGGTTGGAAGGAGATGCACACCGCACGATCTAATGTATATGAATGTTATATGGCTCTGCTTTGCCCAAGATGCATGAAGTGACGCGCGGAATACGTGCTCACACAAGGCGCAGAGGACTCCCTCATATTGCACACTTTGGGGGAAAAAAATAAAAACACGTGCAACAGCATCACGACTGTTGTGGCCGTGGGCTCCTGTCGCATTGGCGTGCCGGAGTGGCACTGCGGCGGGGCAGGAGTTCGGAGTCTGTGGCGCGGAGGGCGTCGGCGGTGTCGGTGTTATCGGGGCGCGCGCTCCAGCCCTCCAGGCTCGGGGGTGATAAAGTCGGGCTCCCTGAGCCAATCACGAGCAGCGCGTGCACCCAGACCCCCCCTCTCCCCCCCCCTGTCGGTGCTATAGCCCCGCACAGCGAGTGGCTGAAGTGCTGTTTTAACGTTCGTCCTCAGTGCAGGTCAACAGGTGAGTCTTGGCGATTTACTTTCTCTCTGAAGCCACTCCTTCGGCGACGCATCGGAGCTCACTTGAATCGTTTCATTCTTAACCTTTTAATTTTTTGATAAATAAGTGTTGTGTTTTTTTCTTGTGCTTTACTGATTTTCATTAAACCTGTTGAATAACCTGTAGAAAAAATGGTTAAGCAGAGAGAGAGAGAGAGATCTTGCACCTGTAAGAAGTACAGGTTTTCTTTCCAGACGCCGAACCGAGGACAGCGCCGGTCTGGCACAAACTTCACAGACGCTGAAAAGGTCGAATTCGTTACCTATCCGCCTCCTTCTTTTGGTTATTTGTGACTCCTGCTGTTCACCGTGTTGGTTATTGGTGGCGGTTGATCTTTGCTGTAGTGTTCTCGCTAGTCAAATGTTCTCTCGCTCTTCAGCTTTGTTTCTCAAAAGATGATTGAAGACTTAAGTAAAGTCTAGTTGTCTAGATTTCGGAAGAATGCGATTAATGTTTTAAACTGTGAGCTACCTTGCAAGTACTCTGAGCTCATCAGGGGGTGGTGAGAGACGCGATCGGCGCTCTCTGGTGTGAACTGAAGTTCAGGTCTCACAGGAACATCCAGCCTTTTGTCCGGCATATTGTACCGCTATCCCTCGCAGTCTGCGCTGTTCAAGACTGAAGAGACTGGGTTCCTTCACACTGACATCCTGACAGTGTTGACTGCTTAAAGGCGGTGAATGTACACTGTATGTGACTGTTCTTTTCTGATAGCACCTAACGGGACACAGGAGCTGCTGTATATACAGGGCAGTGGGTGGCGTATTTCGATGAATGTCAACCGAAAGCGCACACAAGACAGAAGGCCGTTCGGTCTGTCGAGCTTGTTTGATCCGAGGGTCTCGTACAGACACTGATTATAACATCAAAGCGTCTGGATGACGGATTGACTCCAGTTTGTACAGGTGTGGAGACAAACTGCAAACACCTTACGTGCTCTTGAAGGAATCGCAGACCCCTTTGACTGATTTAGTATAAAACAACTGAACGTTTAAATTAATCGTGAATTGTACGACGTGCACAGCGACAGTTACCACACGCCGGTATTTTTATTATATATTCCCTCGTCCTCGAATTATGTTAGTGCATTTCAAAGTGAGAACAGGAGGCACTTCTTTACACAAAGGGTGGTGGGAGTGTGGAACAAGTGCGATACCCCGGCTTCTTTCAAGACACAACTACCCCCACAATACCAAAGGGCTGGAGTGGTCGAACGGAGCTGTTCGTACGGTCTTACTCCCGGACGGCGCCGGGGCCGGTTTTTATCTGAGCTGCCCTTGTTTCCTCGACTCGTGATCTGTTTCTCGGTGGCGCCGTTACGTTCTGGGTTCCGAAAAGCCAAGCTTTATAATTTTAATATTTAATATAAATATTAATATTTAGTATAATAACTGTACGATATTATAAATTACTAATTTACTTCTCTGCAGAGGTTTACGTATACACAACGTGGTCTTTTGAGAAAACAAGTGGATGAACAAAGTTTAAGGAAACACCTGATTGCAATAGTGCAGCACCAAGAAAGTCTGTCATATAGACAGTAGGGGCGATCATCGGCACTTCTGTGATGTTCGTAGCGGTGGTGCCAGAAACAGCTGTACAGTAACTGTACCAGGAGGAGCTCGTTCACCAGAACCCAGCTGACGCACCGATCCTGCTTGTTGATGCGCGGAGCTCTCGCGTACCCGTGACGTGCGCGGTTCGGAGAACTCTTCAGCACCGCGCGCCTGGGCGGGCACGATAAGCGAGTGCGCGTTTATCTCCGGCCCCCAAACCCCAGCTCTTAACCCCCACACCCAGCCAGGTACACCCACGCCTGGTGCTGGGTAGCTTTATTTGTCGCGTCTCTGTGAGGCGCAATATAAATTATAATCTTGTTACCCAGGCCTCATATGCTTTTATTTGGTTTTAATTTTATGTGACTCGTTTTTACGTCTACGCGGTCTATCAATCTGTACCCGTTAATAACAAATCGACAGATACCTTAAAAGTGTTAGCTTTGTTTTAGCTAATCGGCTAAAATTTTATTCTGATTGGGAAATGAGAAGTTTCAAAGTAAAGACAGAGTACTGCTCACTGCTTGTATTTTTGGACATGTACAAAATGACTAGAGGGATTGATTTTCATTTTTTTTCCCCCGTATTCACGGTTAGTGGTTCAGAAGAGCCAAGCTGAGCATAATAAACATGTTCTTTCCTCCTGCCCCAGCTCAGGCATTTCCCTCCTGGGAAACTCGTGGTTTCAGGAGCTCTGAGTGTTGACCCACTTTTTTTTAACAGTGTGGCTTTGGGTTCAACTCGAGATTCCCGGAGCGCACAGTAAACTACGCTCGTTCAAGCGCCTGTTTCACTGACCGGCCACACCGGCCCTGCGCCCAGTCAGCTCTGCTCCACAGCCGTCCGCTCGGGGATGGGCTGTTTCCAAGCCTAATTCCACCGAAACTGTACCGCTGGGCGATACGGTTGACCTGAGGGTCAGTTCAGGACAGCGGACACGCACCAAACAATGCGCGCAAATGCTGGGAATACGCGGAAAGTCCAACCTAACGATTCGCTCTTTTATCATTCAAATTGCTTCTTCACAATAAAATCACAGCCCGGGGAGTCTTCCTGGTAAAGCAATGGTTACACAAACCCGCACAGAAATTCCTCTGGAAAATCCCTTAAACCTTCCTAAGAACAGGAGTAATGTTAATTCTCTCGGGGCCCGTGGGTCCTTCTGCAGACCGGACGATTCTTCACAGACTCGACGAAAACGTCACATTCAGAGCTTCACTAAGTATTTCCTTCTGACCCCTAATCTGCTTACGCCAGCAACCCAGGAATTAGCCCGGTAGGCAGTGAGCGCAGAGCGGAGCGGGGAACGGGTTCAGGGCGTCTGAAGGTAGAGCAGTGAGAGACTGACTGCTCTGACTCGAACAGCACCTGAGCTCCCCTGAAGCAATGGATAACTTCACATTAGACTGCGAGGTCACCTTCACTGAGTCGCCCTTGACTGATGTATAATTTCAGCTGCTACTTTAAAAGGTGCTTTACTTAAATCACAGTGGGAGCCTGTCCCACCAGCAGACTGACCGTAGCAGGCTTCCAGGTTTTCCCGATTTCCCATGATTTACTCTTCTCCCACCCGTTTCTATAGCCCTGCCTGGAAGCTTTGCACGGACACAGACCGCTGCAAACAAAGAAAAGCCTGTGCCGAGCCCTCATTTCAGGCCTGATTGCTCAAAGTCATCTTAATTCTGCGCTGAAAGAAGGATAATGCAGACCTGGCTCCGGGGACTCTGGGGAATATTATTCCATAGGTTCGGGAGCACGATGTCCGAACTGGCAAGCACCAGATGTTCATGTGAAATAGGGGTGCGCTAAGGAAGACAGCATCCACGGGGTGCAGTGGTTGATTGGGGTGCGAAGCTCTTTAGGGTCAGTTCCCAGTGTTTGTCATGATAGATGTCTCCAACATGTCTGCCCTGTGTCCCCTGCAGTGTGAACACAGCTCCAGTCAGTCATGGCTGCTTTCTTGCATCACTGTCCCTTCCTGACCACGGTGCCCAGGCACGTCCTGTGCAAGGCCGGGACCTCCCTCTTCAACCTGGCTGACCACTGCCCCGTCCTCGTCCGCGGAGTGGCCTCCACTGCTGCCCGGCAGCAGAGGGCCAGAGAGACTGCCCCAGGAGGTAAGAGCGACCCCCCAGGTCAGCCCCGGCAGAGCTGCCCCTCCTGCCTGCCCCCGTCTGAATTTCAGAGGCCTTAGAATGCACACAGAGTGGCAACTTGCCCTAATTTACTCCAGACTGTAGGACGTCCGCAGGCTTGAACTGTGTCGGGAAGCAGTGCGTATGAGTAGATAATGGTTGGAAGTCAATTTAAACCCCAAAACATGAGATGCTTATTTACACAAAGGGTGGTGGGAGGGGGGAACAGCCTACCCAGCCAATACCCTTGCTTATTTCAAGAAACAGCTGGATGAGATCCTCAGATCAGTAAACTACACACTACTGTATGATCAGTGGGGGAGATTGTGCTCAGTCCTGGGTCCCCTGGAGACCCCCAGTCTTCTAGTCTTCAGAAAGACAAAGGGGGGGTGCACTCTCCTGTCCTGCCATGTGCCCCCCTCGGTGCTAGCGTGGTCCGTGGGGTTCCGGAGAGGAGGACAGCCCCTCGGACTGGGAGCAGAAGCCCATCGCTCCGGGAACGCGCAGCGGGACTGACTGGCTGGCTCTGTCCGCAGGCTCTCCTCCCCAGCGCTCTCTGGCTCAGGCTGCTGCCCAGGCGGCGGTGTCCATGGCCTCCAGCTGTCCCTTCGTGTCCTCCCAGATCGGGGTGGTCAAGGCCAGCCCGGAGCTGCAGGAGGACATCCAGGCCGGGGACAAAGGTAAAGGGCGGGGGGTCAGGGAGGAGCCTGGGTACAGGAAGCCTCGTGTTTTGATCTTTCAAATATTTGATTCATGTTTTCTACCTCCGCATTCAATTGCAACTCAAACTCCATAACTATTACAAGGCTATTTTATTTGCCTGATGCTTTAATCTAAGTAACTGGGATTTGCACCCATTTATACAGCTGGGTATTTTACTGGAGCGATTTGGGAAAGATGTTTGCTCAGTGGTTCAGGAGCTACTGTATGTCTCCCCCGGGATCTGAACTGAGAACATTCCAGTCCCAAGCCTAGACTCCTGCCCATGGCTCCACACTGCTGCCTGTTGACTCTGGCTCAGTGGAAGATAATAATATATACAAAAATATAAACTAACATTTTTGCTAGATCTGTTGTCACTGAACTTCTACAGCCCTTTTCAAAATAGAGGTTATGCCACTCAAGTGAAGAGCATTCTCTGTATCGGCTTTGTTAATTTGTTCGTTTTGCAATTTAATCTCAAAAAGTCTGCCATGCAGCATGATTGAAGCACTGGATTTCTGACACAAATCAAATCAAAGAACAGTATATTGGCGGTTCACTTTCTGTTGTAACGTAGCAAAACAATGACAAAATGCTCTGTCTGAATTAGCAGTTCTTGTTCTAAAACACCCACTCCCCCTCTCCCAAACACACCCCCCCTGTCTCTGCCTGTCGTGTTGGGTGTGTCTGTCTGGCTGAGCCTCAGTCTGCAGGTGACTGATGTGCGTTGTCCCTGTGTGGCCTCACCTGTCAGGTGCCATGGGCTCGGTTCTGAAGGGGCTGCAGTCGACTCTGAAGAAGATGCAGGGCTTCGCTGCTGGGTCCGCTGCCCCTGTCTCCCACCTCATCAAGGACAACATGATAACAGGTAGTCAGAGCCTGTCCTGGCACCAGCAGAGACCACAGCTCCACACTCCACAAGGCAATCTGCCGGTGCAGCAGCAGAAGGAAACCACAGCAGGCAACCACCGATTCCATGGGATTCAGTGGGAATAATTCTGCACCTGGACACAGCAGCACCTCGCCTTACATCCACAACCATACATTTCACGAAATGAACAATTTATAAATCAGCCGCGTGTCGGATCACTGTTGAACAGGAAAATATGAGGCATCTGTAGTGAAGCACTACAACACAGACAGGGAGGGAGAACCAGGGGGGTGGGTGATGGATGGAGGAGTGCAGAGATGGACAGATTGATGGAAGGAGGGATTAATAGAGGGGTGGACGGAGAGATTGATGGACAGATGGACGGAGAGATGATGGACAGATGGACAGATGGACAGAGAGATGATGGAGGGATGGACAGACAGATTGATGGACAGATGGACAGAGAGATGATGGAGGGATGGACAAACGGATGACGGAGGGGTGGGCAGAGAGTTTGATATAGGGATGGACAGAGAGATGATGGAGGAGTGGACAGAGGGATAGATGGAGAGGTGGACAGGTAGATGATGGAGGGGTGGACAGAGAGATGATGGATCTCTCTGGATGGGTTAGATAATGGGCCACTCATCCCTCTTGACTTTGATTTGTGCAGAGGGGCCTTGCTTTGAGTACGACAGCTTCTTCGAATCCAAGATCGTAGAGAAGAAGAGTGACCACACCTACCGTGTCTTCAAGACGGTGAACCGGCGAGCCGATGTCTTCCCCTTCGCTGAGGACTACTCCCACCCCTCCACCGCTGCCAAGCAGGTGTCCGTGTGGTGCAGCAACGACTACCTGGGCATGAGCCGCCACCCCCGCGTGCTGCAGGCCATCCGGTGAGCGCCGGCGCCCCCTCTGGACGGGGCCATCGCTGTGTCTAGCTGGGAGCTGTGCACTCCAGTGACCTCGGCGCTAGGGTTCTGGGGCAGGGGTAGGCGCTGTCCAGGCTGTGGGCAGCACCTGGACCTCCCTGCCACGGGTCTGGGCAGAACCACTCCACACTGTGCAGATATCAAGGGGGACGTCTACCCAGTGCATCTGCATGTTAGTAATGGCTAACTGAGAAATGTGGCACTAGGTGTGAGAGTGTGCATGTCTGCGTCTGTCCTGGCTGTGATGGACTGGGCATCAATACTTTGCTTGCCAGGACAGGCTCTGTCTGCCCCACGGCCCTGAATTGGAGGATGCTGACAGAAAATTGCTGGATGGATAGTAGCTCACTGATGTAAGCACTTCATCAACCAGGCGGAGTAGCCTGTTTCCCACCACCCTTTGTGGGAAAAGCCACCTCTTGTTCTCCAGCTGAAACACACTTCTCCTCAGCGCTCCCAGTCCTGCGTCAGCTGTGCGTGACTCCGTGCTCCTCTCCGCAGGGACACTCTGGACCAGTACGGAGCGGGCGCGGGGGGCACCCGCAACATCTCGGGCACCAGCAAGTTCCACGTGGACCTGGAGCGAGAGCTGGCCGAGCTGCACCACAAGGACGGGGCCCTGGTCTTCTCCTCCTGCTTCGTGGCCAACGACTCCACCCTCTTCACCCTGGCCAAGATGCTCCCGGGTAGGCTGGCAGGCAGGGGCGCCCAGGTCACGTCCTGGAAGCCTGGGGGTGCTGTGCCATCTGGCTTCCTCTCCACCTGAGGTCACAGCCGGTCACACCCAGCTGTTCAAACCATTTACTTAACGGCAGCTTTAGGTTCTGAGCTCGGCTCTAATGCGTTTCATTGGCAGCTTTACTTGTAATGAAGGGAATGTGTTGGGTTATCAACTGTACAAGACCTTCGACATCCTGTGTGTGTGTCTAAGGAAGAAAATAATGAGGTCGGTTGTTTCATTGACAGCTCAGGTGGGAACAAAAACCAGGCGATGGCCGGCCTTTCAGGAATGGAGCTGACACTGACACTGCTCTTAGGGATTCATCTTTCCCTCGCATGACAGTCCAGCCATTGTGTTTCGGCACAAATCTGTGTCAATATTGAATATTCCATTGTTTAAATAGAAATAGTAATAGTAAATACTAATGAAGTCCTGCAGTGGCACAGCATGTCAATACCACAGTTTAATAACAATACAACAGCATGAAAGTGTTACAAAAAAAGAGGGGATCTTTGGCAGCTAATCTCTTCCAGGCACTTTTTGAAGGATTCTGCCTAAACATGGTTTTTTGATTCCTTCTACTTCCCCACAAATCAGTAAAGAAAAGAGTGGCCCCTGTTTGAAATTCTGAAATGCCGCTTCGGCTCGTGAGGCTCGATGTGTCTTCGAGCGCCTGTGGAAGATGCCAGCGGCTCCCTCTCTGTCAGACGTCAGGCAGGAAGGGTGGGATCGCGGCACCCTGTGCTGGGGCTCCCCGCCAGCACGCAGCCCTGGCGAACTCGAACCCGTGACGCGTTCTTGTCGCCACCCTCCCCCCCCCAGGCTGCGAGATCTACTCGGACGCCGGGAACCACGCCTCCATGATCCAGGGCATCCGCAACAGTGGCGCCCCCCGGCACATCTTCCGCCACAACGACCCGCGGCACCTGGAGGAGCTGCTGGGCCGCGCAGACCCCGCCACCCCGAAGATCGTGGCCTTCGAGACCGTGCACTCCATGGACGGTGAGCGGCAGGGAGGGGGGTCTCTTTCCCGTTCGCTTGCAGTCATTGTGCAGTGTTGGGGGCCCTGAGACACCCCAGACAAAGGAGCCGGCTTTTCTCGTTGGGTGGAATCAGTCACCACAGGAAGCTGAAAACGGATCAGGATTTTTATGGAGGGGCTGCAGTGTCTGTGAACGAATTAAAGCGGGAATGCTGTACTGCGCCCCACCTCTCCCATTTAAGTCCCAGTTTTCCCCAGTTGAGCTGTATGAGTGATGTGTCGTCCAGCAACTGGAGACCCTGAGTCATCAGAGAGATATAAAACTAAGGTCCTGACTCTCTGTGGTCATTAAAAATCCCAGGCCATTTCTCTAAAAGAGTAGGAGTGTTACCCCAGCATCCTGGCCTAATTTCCCCCTGGCCTTCACCAATCATGACCTCCTAATAACCCCCCTCTCTGAACTGGCTCCATCACTCTGCTCTCCTCCCCACTGAGAGCTGGTGTGTGGGGAGAGAACTGGCGCATCATCCAGGTGGGGCTGCACACTGTGGTGGTGGAGGGGATCCCCATTACCTGTAAAGCGCTTTGAGTGGAGTGTCCAGAAAAGCACTATAGAAGTGTAAGAAATTATTATTATTAATCAGTTTCTGTAGGAAATCATATCCAGCACCTTCAGCTAATGAACTATAAACAGCACTGTGTAGAAGATACATTATTATTACGTTATTGGGCTTTTCTGGAAAGGTAGGATCTGTAATGTGTGTGGTTTCTGAGCAGAAGATGATCAATGCGCCTGATTGCCGGTTGTGTTCAGGAGCGATCTGCCCCCTGGAGGAGATGTGCGACGTGGCTCACCGCTATGGCGCCCTGACCTTTGTGGACGAGGTCCACGCGGTGGGGCTGTACGGGGCGCGGGGCGCCGGCGTGGGCGAGAGAGACTCCGTCATGCACAAGATCGACATCGTCTCCGGGACTCTGGGTAGGGACTGGGGCGAACTCTCTGGCCGTGACCACATTATACAAGACTCTGCAGCTCTTTTCTTTAAGGCCAACAGATCCTTAAGTCCTCATATTTAAACCCTAGGCATCTTCACCATCCTTCCCACTAAAGTACATTTGTAAACACATACCCTTCCTTTTCTACCTTTTTAAAACACCTGCTCTAAAGCATCGGAGTCAGGCTGCAGATGGTCCGTTTTTCAGCTGTGATACCCCGGTAGCATTTTGATAAAGTGCCTGTGTTTAGTGGACAGTTAGTCTTTAAAACTGACAGGGGCTGCTTGCTTGTCAGGAGTGTTTCAGGCAGAGGGAACACGCTTTGACTGCAGTGTGAAAGCCGTGTAGTGACTGGTATTGAAGGTGCATGCACTCAGATCGATTTGCGCACCTCAGCAGCTCATTTCGCCAACGGCAAACCTATTAGCTTTCAGGGGGATGATTGCATTAAACTCAGCACTGTTAGAGAAATTATGAGTCTGAGTCACTGGACTAAAATCACACTATGTGCAGTCATGCCTCACACTTCAGTTGAAGGACTACAGACCGTCCTGTCTCCTCTTTCTTCTTCAGCTGAGGCCTTTCGGCTCAGCGCTTCTAATGGCAAAACAATTAGCTCCTGGGGCCTGCCTTAAGAAAGCTCACCAGCAGGGGGCAGGCTGAGCTGCTGCTACTGAGCCTGGCAGGGCACTTGCCTTTTCCACCGGCTTATCTGCTGGCTGTGGGGGCTTTATCAGGGTTAGGCTGTGTCAGCAGGGCGCCCTCTCCTGCCCCACCCTCCCTGTCCCAGCAGTGCCCGCTGTCGGCACAGATAACGGTCCCAGCTGGGGATCCTGGAGGCTCGTGTTTATTATCAGCAGGGAGAGGAGGCTACAGAGCAAAATCTAAAAGAACTAAACACAATATATATGATTAAAGCAGCAGCCTTAGTTCTCGTCGTACTGTTAGTAGAAAATAAATTAAAGGAGTAAATTAAAGTAGATGTCATATTAATAGAAAACCTGTGGCAATAATATCAGTAATTAGTAGGGGTAGTTAAAATACTACAGTACGGTCTCAGTAATAACATTAATAGTAGCTAAATAGTAGCTAAAGTACCTGTAGATAATTCAGTTGTTATCATTAAGCCAGCAGTTACTAGTGAGTTACTTGTTTTTCTTTTTAAAGTAGTGGCAGTTTTAAAGACTTTAGTACCGTAATAGTAACACTCAAACTACACTGCCCCCTTGTGGGCAGTTGCTTTCAGAACAATGTTTCTCCACCAAGCACAGATGTCACCTGCAAGAGCTTGTCTGTGCCCTACAGACAGGAACTGCAGAACACGAACACATATCAGGGCAAAATCTGTTGTCCCAAACTTCAGCCATCTGTTACTTCCTTTTACTACATAACAAGGCTCCAGACCCTGTAAGACTGCTTTTTTTGTCTGTGGAAATATCTCTCAAATCTGGCAGTTTCAAATCCGATCTTAAAACTTCTTTTCTGCACTGGCTTTTGAATTCTGTTTTTAGTTTAGCAGCGAACACCTTCCTATTGCTTTTGCCTTTGTCATCTTTTATTATAAAAGCCCTGAACATGACATGGCATGAAAGGGGATATATGAAACAAGGATGATTGTTGTTGTAGCAGAAGACGGGGATTAATGATTAACGAAGGAGGAATGTCAATTAAGGCTGGCCCGTATCTTCTGTAGCTGACCAGTGCCCTGTCTGTCTCTGTGCAGGCAAGGCGTTCGGCTGCGTGGGGGGGTACATTGCCAGTACCGCCGCCCTGGTGGACACCGTGCGCTCCTACGCGGCGGGCTTCATCTTCACCACCTCCCTGCCGCCCATGGTGCTGGCCGGGGCCCTGGAGTCGGTGCGGGTGCTGAAGGGCCCCGAGGGCCAGGCCCTGCGCAGGGCCCACCAGAGGAACGTCAAGCACATGAGGCAGCTGCTCATGGACGCCGGGCTGCCCGTCATCAACTGCCCCAGCCACATCATCCCCATCCGGGTAGGGTCCGTCAGCACGGGGCACTGCGGGTACTGTCCCAGGGCAGGAATGTAGAGAGGAGCAGAGCTTTACATGCAGATGCAGTATATGTACAGAATGCATGGTTCACAGCACCAAGCACAAAACAGAGCACGCACAAACACAGTACTGTCTGAATTGCCTGCTGCCAGTACTGTCCTGGGCTAGGAATAGGACCTACAGTAATACATACCCTGGCCACGTAGAGAGGAGCAGAGCTTTACATGCAGATATGTATGCATCACAACACCAAGCACAAAACAGAGCCCACACAAACACAGTACTGTCTGATCTGGCTGTATCTTGGTCTGGCCCGTCACGCTGGGTGAGGCACTCAGATTAGGAGTGTCGTCGGGCTATCAGATGGCTAGACCAGTCCGCACTGATCCCATGCCGGAGCCCTTGGCCTATAGAATCACTAGAGGAGCTTGACTGGGGGGGCCGAGGGGTCGTTGAGAAGGAAAGCGTGTGTCAACGGTGACGTGTGCGTCAGGTGGGAAACGCGGAGAAGAACTCCAAGGTGTGTGACGTCCTGCTGGAGAAACACATCTACGTCCAGGCCATCAACTACCCCACCGTCCCGCGCGGAGAGGAGCTGCTGCGCCTCGCCCCCTCCCCCCACCACGACCCGGACATGATGGACTACTTTGTGGGTGAGTGGGCGCGGGGTTCCCCTCTCCTTTCTGTGTTCCACGCCGTCACCCCAGCTCACCCCGGCAAGAGGTGGCGGCCCCAGCACAGCGGGCGCCTGTCACAGGCAACACTGAGGCGGTTACAGCTGTTTCCGCTAGTGACTGTGGAAAAAGTGAATTAAAGTGAGGAGCCCTGGATTCAGGCTTCCTAAGCTGTGTGCTGTGGAATGGTCACAGTGGAATGGTCACAGGTGTGCCACAGATTCAAAACAGACTGGCCTTCAGTAAAAAGCGTGGAGCATGACCTTTGCGCAGCTCTTTCCAGAACTGAAACGGAGTTATGTTTCTTTTTCGGTTTGAAGGAAATGTTGTTTCTTGCGATATCAGTCGGGATTATTTTAAAATCATTTGCTGTGCCACTAACAGTTTGGGATGCTAGCCGTGTGCTGTGAGCTTGGAAGGCACTTGGGAAGCACTGTGCTAGGGGTCTTCAGGCTAAGACTGCTTTTGGCAATCCATTCTGTTTCTGTAGGCTGCTTGGCCAGCAAGGAACGGCCTGTCCACCTGTGCTTCAACTGGCCGATGAAACTCTGTTCTGTGTCGGTGTATTGTGCTGGGAGATGAAGAGACAGCCCTGTGTTTCTGATGGGAGCTGCGATGTCGGGCACGGCCTGTATGTCTGTGTGCTGACTGGTGCTCTCTTGTGCTTGCAGAGAAACTCGTGGAGGCGTGGGTGGAGGTGGGGCTGCCTCTGAGTCAGCCTCTGGCGGCATCCTGCAACTTCTGTCACCGCCCCCTGCACTTCGACCTGATGAGCGAGTGGGAGAAGTCCTACTTCGGGAACATGGAGCCCCAGTACATCACCGTGTGCGCCTGAACTGAAGATTCATACACGTTACTCAAAAAGATTCAACATGTATCGCCCCTCTCTTCCATGTCCATAGGCCATATCTGCGAAGTTTGGGCTATTTCTGAAAGTGATTGTAGGCAGAAACTTGTAACGTGCTACAGGGGCAAACCAAAATGACAGGTACTACGAGAAATTAGATAAAATTACAAAATAAACGGACACCATCGCCCCCCTTGAAAAAGTGCAGACAAAAGCACGTGATGTAATAAGATGGCAACTGGGTTTTCAGCTCCCCATGTCACATGACTCACAAACTCAACTATAACTATATCCGCGGTGAGGGTCTTCTTCTTCGTCATGTAGGTTTCTCTGTTTACATGACAACTGCTCTACTGATGTGGCCTTTTATTTCACAAAGTAAAACCAAAACCCATCACTTCTACAGAATGACAAGCAGATATGGCCTATAAACAGGTGTGAGGCGTGATATTTAAAATGATCTTCTCTTATTCTAAATCTTGGCTTTTCTTCCCCCCCTGACCCCATCCCCGACTGTGGAGGCTCCCCTTTGGAACAGGATGAGGTTGTGTTGCTGTTCCTTCATGGACTCCCACTCGGTTTACCACAGACAGATCCCACAGTTCTCTTCCATGTGGCTTTCTGTTAACCTCTGGGCATTTCAAAGCATAAGGCATGGGTGAAGAATTCTACTGCTGGCTGAAGAACGCATGGTGCTACCTGGATAGATCTTCAGATTGGCACACTGTGTTCTCTCGGCATGGCGATACCTGCGCGTTGAGCACTTTCTAGTGTCAGACAGCTACACGGCAGTAAACTGTTCTGCACAGAAGTAGTTCCGGTGGTCAGTCAGCCTGTTTCCAAAAGGCCAGAGTGTCGGCAGAAGACTTCAGCTACTGAGGCTCTGATTGCAAGACACTGTGGCCACAAGTTCACAGACACTCCAGGTATCAAACTGCTCTTCTCTCCTGTGATTGATTCTTGCTGTTGCCCATCCATTGTCAGAAACTAGAACCTGAAGCATTTGTGGTAGAACAGTATGCAAAGCAAAGTAACTGCCTTTTGTTTCTAAATGACACAAAATTGGGACACAGCTTCAACCGCAATTCTTCAGGTTCAACAGTGACATTCCACCTTAACTCCTGGAGAAAAAAACAGTTGTTCACCCCATTTCCCTGAGATCACTTAGAATTTAGGAATTCAAAACAGAAGGCATCCTTGGTATCCAGGAATTGAGTCTGACCACAGGAATTGTACAAATGCGTGTTGTCGGAGCTACAACGACAGCCTGTAATATTTTCCAAGTGGGCTCTTCTGAGAGCTCAGTGCTTTGGCATCTTACTAAATCCGGAGTTCTCTTAACCTAATTCTTGATGGATACAGATGTCTTACTAACAGGTAATAGGTTTATTCCATGCTGAAAAAAAGAAGAAAGAGAACACAACGTTTCGGCCGTG